ACAGACGGACAGACAGATAGACATATACCCGTATTTACATGTACGTTTAGAGTTACGTCCAGTTATGTTCGCATTCGCATGTGTGTATATATATATATGTATATGTATATGTGTATATATATATATACTTACCTACATGAATAACAGTGTGGTTCTGTCCCCTGCCCAGCTGCCAGGCAAGCCAATGATTGTATCCGCCCTGTCAGGTGGATTTCTTTGAGCTTCTCCTTGTGCGGCTGAAACAGGCAGGTACCCAGGGGTTTAGGGTTTAGGGCTCTGGGAGCAGAGCACCCTAAAGCCCCTGAGTTCGATAAGATGTTGTCAGCCTTCTTCTCAAGAGTTCCTTCAGGATCAGGCGATCTGGGAGTCTCTGGCCAGAGCGGAAGATCTTGAGCGGATTTGTCTGAGTGATCACGAAAGTGGGGGCCGTGGAACCGCGGTCGATAGTTGATTGGCGGCCAAGCTAATTTGATCACACAGCTTGGTCACATCAAAGTTCGCAACCATGTTGCAGTAAATTCAACGCTGTAGTAGGTGGCATTGAGTCCTCTCGGAAGTCTAGGGAATCGTGCACTGATCTGCAAGCCTCGCTGGCTCACACAGCCCTTTGTGATCGCAGTGAGGCGGTCCGTACGACCAGCTCTGATATCGCAGCAATGCTGACCTGCAGTACCTCCCGCATACTACCCAAATTCGATAGAGATGTCTAATAGGGGGGTCGGAATATAATTGGACATATTTTCCATTCTGGCCCCCACGTAGTTATTGCCATATATATATATATATATTTTTTTTTTTTGATTTATTTGTTTGTTTATGTATGTATACACATATGTGTATACCCTAACACGCTCTTCTAACTCTGACGGCTCCACGGCTCCTCTTTCCTTAGCTCACAAAGCCCATCAGGCGCTGAAGGCTCTGGGTACCTCAGTCCCGGCCATCCAGCTTACAGCATCGGCTCCCTGGCGCGATACAATAGGTTTTGGGTTTTGGGGTTTTGGGTTTTGGGTTTAGGGTTTAGGGTTTGGGGGGGTTGAAAAGTTTAGAGTTTTGGGGGTTTGGGGTTTAGTGTAACTGTAGATATACAGTGGGTTAAGGGCTAGGGAGGGTTAAGGATGTTTAAGATTTAGGGCGGGTTTGGGTGTTGTTAGGTCGCTGCGGTTTTAGGGTTGATTTAGGTGTTTAGATTTGTAGGGGTGTAGTGCTATAGGTGGGATGACGGTATGTGGAGCATCGCAAACAGGGCGCTTATAAAAGGCGATAAACACAAGGCATCCCACGTTTTGGGGCTAGCGATCGTGTCTTTGGGGCTCAGATTCCTGAGAGGTAGATATTAGTGGCTTGGTGTTGAGTTCAGGGCTTTGGGTGCTATTTCTGCGCTTGCTGTGTTACGCTCGAGCTTCAACGGCTGCTTTAAGACTCTAAACCAATCCCAGGAGTGGGGGCGTGGGTTGTTGGATGTAGGTGGTAGCAGAGGCTCCGATGATTCTGTCGGGAGCCGGAATCACAGCGACCGCTAGCAGAACTGAGGACATCCTCGGTGGAAAGAACACTGCCGAGAGCAACCGCATGCTTCAGAGCCTCGGACACTTCAAAAGAAGCCTGAATGAATGCGTATACATTCCTTACGGTGCTTGGTTCTAAGTGCGGTATAAGAATCAATTTCCCACAGCCTATTGAAATTTATTAAGGTCGCTAGACTAAACGATTTCCCAGAGCCTCCCCAAGAGATTGAAACCTGGGTGCTGAGCCCAGCTCTGAGCACCGGCGTAATATAGGGGCCTCAACAGTTACCTAACTATGTTGTTATGGCGTTCCTTGTTATCCTAAACCCTAAACCCTTAAACCCTTAAACCCTAAACCCAAAACCTTATGTTTCTACTATAAAGGGCTCAAAACCCTATTCTAATCATTAAGGTCCCTGGCGATCCCCAGCTCTCCAGACCTTCCAGCGCTGAATTTTCAGGTCTTGGGTGCTTTGGGTTTAAGGTTTAGGGTCTTAGAGTTTCGGGTTTAAGATCTTAGGGTGTTTGGCAGCATCTCACCGTATCTTACCCTGAAACAATACAAGGCCTCTAGGAAGAACAACAGGTGCAGCGCATGGGGCTATTGAAACAAGCAAAGATGGTGACAAGGTGTTGAAGGATTGGGGATGATGAGGTTTCAACCTCTTTTAGCTATGCAAGTGAATAAAGATATGTTTCTGTATATTATATATATATATATGTATAGATAGGGTTTCGGGTTTGGGGTTCGGAATTTAGGGATCAGCGCTGCAACGGCTACCGGTTGCGACTGCCGCCTTATTCTGTTGTTCGAAGTTCGGGTGTTCTTGAGAGTTCCCAGGCTGCTGTGGCAGCATGTGCATTTTAAAAGAACTAGGACAACCTAATATAGGGGCCTTAATAACTAGAATGGGTTTTGAGGTATATTCTACTATAATTATAATAAGGAGCCACCAAAATAGTATTGGTAGCTATTTAGGCCCCATACATTACTTCTCTCTGAAACAGTCAAGAGCCTCCCTGAAGCCTAATAAACCCTCGCGACCCTTTGCCTCACTCCAGGGGTTCAGAAAATGGCGTTTTGCTTTCTGCTTCAGGCTGCTGTGCTATCTGGCTCTTCGGAAGAAGTTGGACACCGAGTCGGCTGCCTGGCCTGTCATTCACGCAACTAATATGGTTTCGGCATTATGACTAGTCTTGGGCTTCATATAGAATGGGTGCGTCAGTACTGTGTAGCTGTTACTGCTACAACTTGCAACATTCGAGCTCGTTTGAGGATCACGCCCTGTGCGTTGCAAAGGCAAGATTCCATCACTGAGAGGCAGCTACTGTGATGGCGTAGGTCTGTCAGACCACATCCCGGTAAAGTTTCTCATTGCAATTTAAAGTCCATATGCAATGAAGTAGAGTTGTGTGCGCTGTAAAGACCTTAGCAGCTGAGTGAGTAGTTACACTTTGCAAAGTTTTTGGAAACTTAACCCCTACAGAACCGAAAGTTTAAGCTTTTGGGGCTTACGAACTCAGCAACTCAGAGACCTCTTTCAGCTTCACGAAAGCAACACATCTCGGACGATCTGAGGCTGCCGGAATCTTTAAGCTGGAGGATCAGTGGGTCACAAAGTTTACCATCTCCTGCAGCCACGCACTTGGACTCAAGATGGGAAGCGTTCTGCTTGGCGTTTCTGGGCGGGCTGACTTGGGAGAAGCCTCGAACAACGTCCATAAATCCCAAACCCTGCCTAAAGTCTCCAGTGTAGTTTCATTTTATGGTTTGGCCAATTTTAGTGTAGGTTGTTTTTCTGGTTTTAGCCTTTTTTGCAAATGGGTCCTGGAAGGTAACGCACAAAAAGGCCTTCGGAGGCTATAGGTAAACCCAGGGTCCTGATGCCCTTGTGGTTCTCTGCCAGGCAACACCCTAAACCCTAAACCCTAAACCCTAAACCCTAAAAAAAAACCTAAACTCTCCCTGTAGGCCCTGGAGTCTCCAAGTGGTAGTTTCTCGACGTGTAGGGGAAGGTGGGTGACTTGCAGTGATAGGAGCCCCAATGCTCCTGTTCAGGAGCCAATTCATTTCAAGTGCGGATCTTGCTATGGTTGTTCAAAGATCCCAGTAACCCAGTAACCCTAAACCCTCAACTTGGCTTTGGTAGGTACCTTGGTGTAAGCCTCGACCGATGCAGGCTTGATCGCCCGAAAAGGCCACACACCTTAAACAAAAAAACTCGGCACCTTTTTTCTGAATGTCACACCCTCAACCCTAAACCCTAAACCCTAAACCTTAAACCCTAAACCCTAAACCCTAAACCGTGAAGTCCCTTCTCCTTGTGGGGGCGGCGGCACGCGAGGATGGCAAGCACTGGTCGCCATTCACTTGTGGCGGCGACCCCGAGAAACCCAAGGCAGGTCCGGAACCCTTAATAAAAGGAAAATACAGGTGGGGAGTTTAGGGTATATAGGGCTTCTATACGGCTTCTGTAAGGTATATAGAGCTTCCATGAGGCTCCTATATCGGTAACTACCCACCTGAAAATGTCCTAGACTTAAATTACATTGTTTATGTGTTTTTTAAATATGTAGTAATGAGATGTTGTGTTACATTGTTCATCATCATGCGCTATGTAGTTTATAACATGTAGTAAGTTGCAGATTGTGTTATCATATCTTATCATGCCCTCCCGAACCCTAAGGCTCGAAACGCATACACTTAGAGCTTTGGGTGCGTTATTGGGTGATTGCGATTTTAGAGGTCAATTCGCTTCTTGGAGGGGGGAAGATGAGTTTAGATAGCCATGTGGAGGTTGCTTGAAGCCAGGATTCTCTAGAAGGTGCCTGTTGAAATGGCAGCCTGCGAGAAGAAGGACCATGCAACGGAACCTTCTTTTCACACGACCTCCACAGATTTATGCTGTACTGTGTGAGAATAGGCACGCTTGAACCTGCTAGCTTACTCTACTATGCTTGCTTCTGAGGACTTGCGAGATATTGCTGCTTGCAGTAGTAGTCGTGTTCGTTTAGTTGTGGTGTCGGCTGATCATCATATGACAGCTTGGTACCATGGTTGATATTGGTCCATCTCTGCAGGTTCGACTGTTCGAGGGCCCGGAGACTGCCAACCAGGTGGCATCTGCCCTGCTGTGGGTTGATTAGGTTTCATGGATCCGAGGGATGTCGACAATCCTCTGAAAAGATGGACGTCGATTGCTGCCACGCGTTAAGATCGAGGACGATTCGAGAGAATGCTCTTTACGCTCATCGTTCAGATCATGGATCCAAACATGCGGTAGAGCTGCTGCTTGGGTTTAGGTTTGAGGGTTGTAATATAGGGGCCTTAATAATTACGGTTCCCTATTGTGATTATAGTATACTATATCCCAAAACCCTATTCTAATTATTAATGCCCCTACCTCATCCTTCTGCTGTCGTCGGGATCCCTCCGAGTCTTTGCACGCCAGGTGCGGTACCAGTCACTTTGGGCATCTTGGCTTTGCAACAAGCGGCGAGGCCCCTCTAAAGACAGAGGCGGGTTTAGGTTTAGTCCGCCTTCTGAGCTCGCACAAGGCAAGTTCAATCAACGTCGAGCCCCCTTTCAGGCCCTCAGCAACAAGACCTTCAGCCTACTCAACAGTAAAAGTATCTACGTTGTGGCAAGGACCCTTGACCCCGATTCCGGCCCCGAATCAAAATCCAAAGCACCACAACACTCACATCCTTGCACCCCGATGACTGCAGTCAGTCTC